ACAGTTCTCCCTCGTCGGGAGGTGGGGAAAGTCTAGAGGGCACCCACAGCCCCACGCATTTTGGCAGAAAAACTTACGCTAGTGTTGGGAAGTCACGAAAATGCCACGGACACTGAGAAAGGCTACGGGGGTGGGGGGCAGGGGGATGCACAGTTTCACAAAGCACAGTGATCACAGACCATAGCGGTGGGGATCATGCTACTGACGCAGAAACTACCAGATCCAAGAGCGGGGAACGTGGCCTCTCAGGGAGTGACTCTGCACTAGTCATCCACACTTGACCCCAGGTCAGCCAACCGGGTGAGTGTCACAGGGCCGCTGACCACGCTGGGGGGAGGGGTGTCACACGAAAAAGACTTAAAAACAAGCAGCGAGGAGGGAATGGTAGCAAACTGCTCCAGGGCTCTCAGGAATCTAGGGCGATCCCGGGGGCTGGGTGGACAGATGCACAAGAAACAGCACCAAAGAGGTTTCCTGTTCTGCAGTCAGCCGGCAAGGGGGAGAGGACCCAGGAGGCAGGTGCATGGAGCAGCGATGGTCCTGGAGACGTCTCTGGAGGCTGGGTCAGAAGAGTGCACACTGCACACCAGTCATGGAACACAGCTCTGGACCCCCAGGGGCAGGGGGTAATGAGGGTGGTGCGAGCAACAGCCTCACGGTGGCCGTCACAGGGCCACAGGGAAGAACGTGGCTGCCAGGTCAGGGGCTCCTTCCAGTCTGGGTGGGGAGGACAGTCTCACAGCGGAGGGCCGTTGACACCTGGGTGGTAGAAGGCACAGAGGTCCTCGTATCGACAGTGGCCCTTTTTGGCGAAGTGTCGGCAGACGGGGCGGCTGGATTTGTCTGTGAACAAGCGAAAATCGGGCAGCTTAAAATGTAAGCATGAACAAATCTAACAAAAAGCAGAGATAGAGAAGGTGGTCAGATTTCCTACTCGCTACCATTTCCGGGTATTATGGAATGACAGTCTTTCTCGCGGGAGAAAGAACATTCAGGGCTACTCCTACTTTAAAAGGACAAAGGACAACCCAAAACAGAAGAGCCACGGGTATTCTAGGCATGAGGTCGCTCTGGGAGTGATGGGTATTAAATGCGTGCAGGCATAAAAAAATGGACCTCACCTTCCATAACCTGGGGTCCATCCTTGGGTGGGCAGGTATTCTTGATAAGAGACCAGCTTTTGAGCCTTCGAGGATTTCTCTGTTCTTTGTGAAAGCCTCCCCTGGAGGGACCCCCATGGCCTGGCCCAGGAAAAGGAGGCTCGGCCTTGACCCCCCACCAACCACGACCATACGGGCCAGACCTGGGGCCGAGGCTTCCCTGAACTGGGCCTCTGCCCCGGGGAGGAGGTGGGAGACTCAGCAGTGGTGGGATCACTGGTCCCCTTGATCCCGGAGGACCTCTGTGAAAAGCTGGAGAGAGAGATAGGCAGGGACAGAGAGAGAGAGAGACAAGGAAAGATGATCAATGGCCAGCTTAATACAGACAATGAAACCCTGATTTTGTTTTAAAAACATTTTATTGAAGTACAATATACACACCAGAAATACACTTTTAAGTGCACAACTCAATTATTACCAAGGTAAACACACCTGTGTTCCCACTAAGACAGGCTAGAGAGGGGATAGAGCCTTATTAGCCCTTCAGAAGCCCCACCTTCTTGTGCCCCTCCTCCCCTACTATCCCACCCTCCTCCCCCAAAGCAACAGCTGTCTTGACATCTAGCACCATAGGTTAGTTTTTGAACTCTGCATAAAGGAAATCATACAGTCTGCATTCTTTTCTGTCTGGATCCTTTGACTCAACATAGAGTTTATGAGATTCATCCAGGTTGCTCGTAGCAGGAGTTCCTTCATTTTCACTGCAGTGTAATATCTCACTGCATGTATGCACAACTGATTTAGCCATTCTACTGATGGTGGACATGCTAGTAGATTCCACAGTTTTGTTATAGTGTGGGTATATAACAAAAAAAATGCTGCTATGAACATTTTTATATAAGTCTTCAGTACACACATGGATGCATTTCTGTTGAGTATATACACAGTAGAGGTATTATTGGATCCTTGAGTATATGTATGATTTCGTTTAAGAAATTCAAAGCTTGGGTTGTTCCTATTCACACTCCCACCACCACCATAACCAAGCTGTTATTCCTTGACAACACTTGGTAACAATCTTTTTCATTTTTGCCATTCTGGTAGGTGTGAAAAGCAGTCTTTTGTTTTGAAATTGTGATTGTAACCTGTAACATAAAACTTGCCATCTTAAGTACTTTAAGTGTATATCTCTGTAGTGTTAAGTAAATTCATGTTGTTGGAAAACAGATCTCCAAAACTTTTCATCTTGCAAAATCGAAACTTAGTAGCTTCTAAACTCTTTCCCTCTTCTCCCCCCAGCTCCTAGCAACTACCATTCTACTTTTTGTTAGTATGAATTTAATTACTTTATATACTTCAAGTCAGTGGAACCATACAGCACTTTTTTTTTGTGACTGGCTTAGCCTCAAGGTTCATCAGTGCTGTGGCCTGCTACAGGATTTTCTTCTTTTGAGGGTCAGAATCATATTCCATTATATGATTAGACCACATTTTGTTTATTCATTCATCCATCGATGGACATCTGGGTGGCTTCCATATCTTGTCTACTGTGCATAGTGCTGCTATGAACATGGGTGTGTAAATCCCTCTTCAAGACCCTGCTTTCCATTCTTCTGGGTAAACACCCAAAGTGGAATTGCTGGATCACATAGTAGTTCTATTTTAATTTTTTGATGAATCTCCATACTGTTTTCCATTGTGGTTTCACCACTTTAGAATCCCATCAACAGTACACAAAGGGTTTGCTTTCCAAGTTACATGCTTTTATCTTGCCCTTACTTGATGACTAATGATGCTGAGTTCTTGTTCATGTTTTTGGCCATTTAGATCTGTTTTTATTAGGTGGCAGTTCTAGTCTTTTGCCCACTTTTCTAACAGATTGTCAGAGAGTTTTTTATACATTCAAGATTTTAACTCTTTATTGGTTATATTTGCTGCAAGTATCTTCTACTCTATGGCTTCCTATTAACTTCTTAATGGTGTGATTTGATTAATAAAGTTTGTATTTTCTAATGTAGTTCAGTTTATTTTTCCTTTATGCTTAGTGTATTGCTTGTCTGTTTAAAAACTCTAATCTACTTTAAGACCATGAAACACATTTGTTTTCTAAACTTATTTCTTTACCCATGAATATCCAATTAACCTACCATCATTTGCTAAAAAGGCCACTATTTCAGTTCCATCTTCAAGAATGAAATAGCCATATGTGTGTGGGCCTGTTACTGGACTCTTTATGCCATTCTGTTAATTTATATGTCTATTTTTGGGCCAATACCACACTGTCATAACTGTTACAGCTTTAAAATAAGTCTTGATATTCAGAGTAAGCCCTTCCCCTTAAAAAATTGTCTTTGCAATTTCTCACCCTGATCCTTTGCATTTCCATACAATAATGTAGAATGCTTATTTCTACAAATACATTGTAGGGATTATAAGTAGGAATGCAATGGATCTCTGGGTCAATTTTGGAAGAACTGTCATTTTACAACATTGAGTTTTTCATTTAAGTACAGAAATCTTGATTTTTTTTTTTTTTTACATCCCTTGTGGGTTTTAGTCCCTCCCTTGCTCCCTTTTCAGGACCTAATCAAAGGATCAGGGCCCCTTTCCTCTCACCTGACTTGGGGTCACCAGGCTTTCCATTGGCCATTGGGGGAGGGCCCAGAAGGCTGGGTGGTCCTAAGGGTAGACACGAAAATATGGTCATCAGAATGGACTAAAACACTGATGATCCTGTTCTTATATGCTTTTCTTCTATAACTCATTTCTTAATCTAACCAGTAAAGCCAGGAAAATTCTCAACAGTGTTATGGGTTCTTACGTCCATCTATTTACAAAGCGTTTTCAGGATGTGCAAAGTGGAGACTCAGTCCTGTCAAGGCGTATAATGAGAAAACGATACCTACAAACTTTCTCTCTCCCTTACATTGTTGCTATCCAGTAGATCCCAAGTGATTCCAGAGGTAAACCAATCCCTCTCTTTAACTGCTGGCCAATCAGATACCCTCTCCCCCAACCCCACCCGCAAGGAGTTCACAGAAAGCTGTACTTCCACCTTCCCCATGCAAGTGTGGTCACAAACTGTCATCCCAGTCATCGCAATCTGCAACCTCTCTGGGGCCCCTCTCCCCTGACGTTTTGCGGCTGCGCACATAAGTTCTTTATCACCTCTCCCTTCTTTAGAAAGGTTTAGAGGCCAGTTTGAAGTTGAGGATTCAAGTAAGAAAACTCATTTAGCGTTCCATCCTACACAGGATCTCCCCCCCCAGCCCCCGCCCCAGCGCGTGCGCCCTTCCTCTCGTTAGAGCCCTCTCCCCCGCATCTTTTAAGCCCCTAACCCTTCGCCTCGACAGGCTGACAGGCATGTGCGCACCCCTCCGGGGCTCCTCACCGATGGGGCTCCCATCCTCCTCGTCTCCAGTCTCATCCCGCTCTGGCAGTGGGGGCTGCTGCTGCAGCTGCTGCTGCTGCTGATTCTGCTTCTTTCGTTTCGGCATCGTGGTTGCGGCAATGGCTGCAGCGGGATTTGGAGGGCAGTGAGGAAGGGGCACGCTGGGATTCTGTTTCCGCTTCCGGGGGGGCGGTGGACACTGAGGCTGAGGCTCCCGCCATTTCACTTCCGGAAGGCTGCGGGGAATCTTTGTGCGGCTCTTCTCGCATCAGCCGCCTCCCGCAGTCTCTGCCAGGCTGGGCAGCAATCTCAAACCTTTCCTTTGCTGCGTTGCTATAAACGCTTTGAAAAGCGTTGCTGGCTCCTCCGCTCGCTGAAAAGAAAATCCACAACCGGTTGCTCCTCAGCCTGCCATAGAGTCGACAGACTCTCAGGCCAGAAGGCCTGAGAAGAGAGGGCTGTCGCATCCTGAGATCGCCATATCCGGTCCCCGGTTTCTATGGTAACAGCTGCAGGCACAACTTGGTGCCCTATGACCTCCCTCCAAAAATCCTTGTCCCACCTGGGTTTCTCTCCTCGGCGGCGCTTGCACTTATGATCTGTAAGCCTGCTTCTTATCATCATTCCCACAAGGAATTTGGGTCCCAGCAGGGCGCTGCCCAGGGCTCTCCAGACCGCCACCCGCCCTTCAAGACCTCTGACCCGGCCCCCAGTGTAGTTCAGTAACTCTGCTTCCTTCCCGGGACGCGCAGTCGCGCCTTTCCTCTAAGGCCCAGCTGGAGGATTGGAAAAGTAGCTTAGGCGCGTCCACGCCCCTTTCTCCCCAGGTGGTAGGACCCGCCCTCCGCTCCACCGCCCCCTCCAGGTGAGTGGTATCTTCTTCCCGGCGCGCAAGGTAGTGATGACACGCGTCCCCCCTCCTCTGAAGGCGGATTGGTAGCGTCCGTGACGAAGTTAGCCCGATCCTCCCACGCGCGCCTCCTTCCTCGCCGCCGCAGCGCCCTCTCAGTGCCACTGGCTCTCACGTGCGGGTAGCCTACCCTGCATCATCCTCTCGCCTCGCTCTCACTGGGAAGTGACTGTATTTCCCCCGTTGTCTTCCACCCGGGCCGCCCGGGCGCAGCGGCCCGGCCCGCCCGCTGACGTCACCTTCCAGCCCCGCCCCTCCAGGGTCCCGGGCCCTTGCGGCGGGGGCTGCCCCGGGGGGAGTCAGTTGAGGCGGCGGGAGCTCGGCGGAGGGCGGGCCAGGTGACTGGTCCGGGCCATGCCGAGGAAGAAGCCTTTCAGCGTGAAGCAGAAGAAAAAGCAGTTGCAGGACAAGCGGGAGCGGAAGCGAGGTCAGTGCGGGAGCCAGAGGAGGGGGCGGGGCTCGGACTCCCGCACATCTGGAAGGAGGGGTGTGCCCGCCTCACCTCTGGGAGGCGTGGGAGGGGGTGGCGGCCGCGTGCCGACGCGCGTGGGCGACCGCGAAGGGGATTCCCTCACCCCAGCCCCCTACATCTGGAAGGGGTGGGGAAGGATGGAGAGTTGGGGGAGGGGAATCCCTCCAGCTCCAACGGGGCGCCATCCCCGCAGATCCCTGGAGGAGGAGGAGTGCCTCCCCCCACGCACATCCGGGAGGGTCCTGGGCAGAGTAGGTGGGAGGGCCCGGTCTCAAAAGAAGTGCGGTGGTGTGGGGAGGAGCCAGGCCGACCCGGGAGGGGGTCTTTTGGCCCCTGAGAACTGGCCAGCACTGGCGTCACCGGCTCCTCCCCGCAGGGCTTCAAGATGGGCTGCGATCCAGTTCCAACAGCCGCAGCGGGAGCCGAGAGAGGCGGGAGGAGCAGACCGACACCTCGGACGGGGAATCTGTGACCCATCACATCCGCAGGCTCAACCAGCAACCTTCCCAAGGGCTGGGCCCGCGAGGCTATGACCCAAATCGGTGAGAGTGGGCGGGGGGCTCTGGCCCAGGTTTCCCCGCCTACCCGGAAGTCAGCGTTGGGGGAAAAGCAGGCTGCTGCTGGTGGAGGCTTGAAACTGGAGATGGGGGGAGGGCTGGGATGCCACGGTTCTCAGCGGGCCGCTGGGGCGCAGGAGAAGCTTGTGGAGCGGGCCACAATCGTCCCTTCCGCAGAGCCTGGAGAGAGTTTGGCTTTTTCTGGACGAAACTTAGGGGAAGGCCTGTTGTTGCACGAAAGAGATTTGGGGGAGGGCCGACTGAGAAGCGAGACTTGAAGTCTGGAGAGAAGAGTTTGTGGCCAAGGATTGCGATGGATGCTGTGGTCCCTTCTCTGTTAGATACCGGCTGCATTTTGAGCGAGACAGCCGGGAGGAAGTGGAGAGGAGAAAGAGAGCTGCCCGGGAGCAAGTGCTACAGCCCGTCAGTGCGGAGCTGCTGGAGCTGGACATCCGGGAGGTCTACCAGCCCGGCTCTGGTGAGTGAGAGCTCAGGGCCTGGATGCTTGGGATAGGCAGTGGGCTGGGGAAAGGAGTTTGTAAGAATAAGAGCCGACTGGGAGGAAGAACAGGTCTGGGAGACAAGCACCCTTGAGTCTTGAAACTATCTCAAAACTTACTTGGACTTTTTCTTGATAACTCAGTCCTGGACTTTCCCCGACGTCCTCCTTGGAGCTATGAGATGTCTAAGGAGCAACTGATGAGCCAGGAGGAACGGAGCTTCCAGGAGTATCTTGGGAAGATTCATGGGGCTTACACCTCTGAGAAACTCAGCTACTTTGAGCACAATCTGGAGGTGAGAATTGAGTGGGGATGGGAGTGGGCATAGTCACCCATGGCCAGATTGGTTTGAGTCAGGCTGCAGAGTGACTCTGGGCTCAAGTTCTCTTCCATTGATATTGTCTTTTCAGACATGGAGGCAGCTGTGGCGAGTGTTAGAGATGTCTGATATTGTTCTGCTGATTACTGATATCCGACATCCAGTGAGTCCTGGGAGGGCAAGGGGCAGGAGGGAGGGAGGTTCTTGGTGGGGTAAAAGGCAGAGGCAGTAGTTGGGAGACAGAGAGGTAATCCCTTCCTTTCCAGTCTCCTCTACACTGCTGAAGTCTGCAGTCGGGAACTCAGTCTTTATTCATCAGTGTCAGAGCCTGTCACTCCTCCTCTGGCCAACTGCCTCTCCTGTTCTTTAATCCTTTGATGGAAAACTCTTCCTGTTTCCTAGCACACCAGGGCTAATAGGAAGTCTCAGTGTGGCGCTCCAGGGAAGCCTGTGAAGTGGGCTTCCCTGCCATATGAGTCACTACAGAACTCAGCCTCACTTGGGATGCTAGGGTAAGTGGTTAAGGCTCTAGACATGCTGCTGGACGGCTCTCCTGTGATCTGGCTGTGCTACTTCACTGTTGTTCTCCTGGGGGGGAAAGGGAGGTCTGAAGTCTGTGTGGACATTTAGGTTGGAGGTCCTTAACATGTACACATACACCCCTACATACTTGGAGACATACGTGTGCATTCACACACTCAAACAGCTACACATGATCAATGCAAACCTCACATGTGCATGCCGACACATAAGCTTGTGTACACATGTAGACAGATGTGTGTGTAAAAATAGATATTAATTTCTCTCCCAGCCCTCATCCCTGTGAGTGATCCTAGCATTTGCCCCCGATTGCTAGGTCTGTCTCCTTGTTTTTAGCTAGTTAACCATCCCTAATCAGGCCCCAGGGAATGCCCACAAACAAACATATAGGTGATGCCCACCGCTGCTGTCTCCCTAGTTCAGTTTGGCTGATCTGTCCTTGTTACCCCAGGATCTGGTACCGCCAGGGTCTTCTCTCCAAGCTGTGCCTGCTGAGTAGGGCGCTGCAGGCAGAGATCTCTGGGTTGACCTTGCATCACTCCCTCCTCTTGCATCCTGTTCCAGGTTGTGAATTTCCCACCAGCACTTTACGAGTACGTTACTGGAGAGCTTGGGCTGGCCCTGGTGCTTGTCCTGAACAAGGTGGATCTGGCCCCGCCAGCTCTCGTGGTTGCCTGGAAGCATTATTTTCATCAACACTATCCCCAGCTCCACATTGTCCTTTTCACCTCTTTCCCTCGGGATCCCCGCACCCCACAGGACCCTAGCAGCGGTGAGTGGGCAGTGAGGAGGGGACAAAAGGGAGGACCTGATCTGGGGTCTGAGGATGGTGGGAGAGAGGGGGTACCTGAGCCCTGTGGGGTGAGCTCATGCTTTTGCACCCTCTGATCTCAGTCTTGAAGAAGAGTCGGAGGCGGGGAAGAGGATGGACTCGGGCTCTGGGGCCAGAGCAGCTGCTGAGAGCCTGTGAAGCCATCACTGCAGGGAAAGGTATGTGCCCCTTCGAGGGGAGGCATGGGGGCCAGTGGTGGGTACACAGGGCCCCGAATCATTTTGCTTACCTTCCCTCTAGTATTGACTCAGGCAAGAGGCCACAGGGAGGGCCAGGAGAGGAAGCTGCCTGACTTGGTAGGACAAGAGAGGCAGCAGGGAGGCAGGAGCCCCCATGGCTGACTGCCTTCAGTCTTGCTGGTGCTTTTTAGAAACTCAGAAATGCACCTGATTCCAGGGTGGGGTCAAGCGAAGGCGGGGGAGGTTGCTGTTATGCAGCTTGGCTCTGTGAGATCCAGAGGGTGCCATTTACCTGATCCAGAGGGCGCCATACCTTGGCTGTGCAGAGCATGGTCTCTGCCGTTGTGGACAGCGGCCCTGAGGAGAACCACCTCCTCTTTCTCCTTCCCTGCACAGTGGACCTGAGCAGCTGGCGGGAGAAGATTGCCCGGGATGTGGCTGGGGCCACCTGGGGTAATGGCTCCGGGGAGGAGGAGGAAGAGGAGGATGGGCCGGCTGTCCTGGTGGAGCAGCAGACTGACTCAGCGTTGGAGCCGACAGGCCCCACGCGGGAGCGCTACAAGGACGGGGTGGTGACCATCGGCTGTGTGGGTAAGGAAGTAGCAGCTGCCTAGGAGGCACAGGGTTTCAGTATGTGGGAAATAGAGAAGGTGGTCAGGTCCCTTTAGGCTTCAGGGTCTCTGAGGCCAGAGGAGTCTGTCTGCCATGGCAGAATGATCACAGGACACCTGAATTAAGTTTGCCTTCTCAGCTTATTGATCTCAAGCAAGGTATCTACCAACTCTCAGTCTCAGTGACTCTGATTTGAAAAATGAGGACAGTGATGTTCAGTTAAAAGAATGGATGGGAGGAAATGGGAGAAGAGTGTAGAGAGAGCTTAACAAAGTCTGACAAATTGTGATAGTAGTAATAACAATTGTTAAAATTGTGTGATGCTTGCTGTGAAGCAGTCACTGTTATGTAACTTACATATTAAGTTTTTTAGTTGTAGTAATTAGTCCATCATAAATCATAGCAGGAGCTTAGCAAGTGTCAGTTTCTTTCTTGGTCTTAACTCTTTAGTCTGTTGTAAAGAGAATCTTCTCTTAATTCAGAGCTTTGTCTCTGCTCTCAGTGGGGGATAAAGGAATGTAAATGGTAGGGATGAGCCAGACAAAGCAGAGAGTGTGGTCAGAGGCAGTCCCAGTCTAGGGGAGAGATGAGACTTGCTCAGAACAGAGGCAGAGATGGGGAGACAGGTCAGGATGTAATTTGAAGGTAGAAAACAGGAGATTGCTGAGGAGTTGCACTTGGGTTGCGTAAGAGAAAGCAAAGAATAAAGAAGGACTTACAAAGTTTTATATTGAGCAGTGGGAACACTGAGGTAGGAAGACTGGGAGAGGAGCAGATTTGGAGGGATTGGGGAAGGGAATCAAATTAAGTTTGAGAGTCTTTTTAAATATCCCAGGTGGAGATGCTGACTAGGCAGTGGGCCAAGAGCTTAGAGGAGAGGACTGGAGATTTGAATTTGAATGAGATTTAAACTTGGGAAGCCAGTAGTGGACATAAATGGTGATTAAAGCCATGGGGTGGGATGAGATGTGGGAGAGGAGATAGATGGAGAAGAGACTATGCTAGTATTTAGAGGCTGGGCAAAGGAGAACGAAATAAAGAGTATTCCAGCAGGCAAATGAAGAAAGTTTGGAGAGGTGGGCTCAGTCGTGTTGACTGTTGCTGACAGGTCAAGAGCGGTAAGAACAGAGACTTGCTCAGCAAGTTGGGCAACATGGAGATCAGAGGTTTCAGTGGGTGGAGAAGAGAAAGCCAGATTAGGGTGGCGGACGAGAAGATGGGCAATGACATGGTGATGTTGTATGAGAAAGGAGCTACAACAGTATCCGTACTGTACAGTCCCATTTGTGTAAGGGTCCAAAGCTGTAGAACTGAACTGCACCAACCATTCAGGATTCACAGGCCATAGAAGTGAAAGGAAAGTGAAGAAGCAGAATTCTGTACCCCTGGGGATCAGGCTTCCAGGAGCACAGGGAGAGGGTTATGATCAGGAAGGAACGGATGGGGCCTCTGAGGAAGTGAGTCACTCTGGGCTCAGGGGTGGGTGATGTGGGGATTCATCAGGCCTGTTTATGTTTTACATATTTTGTGTGTGTGTTATAATTTATAGTCACAAAGAAGATGGCGTGAAGAAGTGGTGACAAAAAATAGACAAGTCTTAAGGAGTTTTACTATAAAGGGGACAGAAGAATGGGGTTGTCAAAGGAGAGTTGTCCTGCCAGCCCCTTTCGAGAGGAGATACAATCAAGGAGCCCATGGCTATGGAGGGCTAACTGTACTGTTGCATTTTATATAAGGGACCTGAGTTCTCCCTGGAGTTTGGTACCTGTGGATACCAAGGACCAGCTGCACTTGAGTGTGTTGTAAAGAGAGCACAGTCAGCACCAGGGTGCATCTTTGCCCAGCCTCAGTCAGCCGCTGACCAGGCAGAGTTGCATTTTACGAGGTTGGAGTTTTGCCAGATAACTAAGAAGAAGGGGAGAGGCAGGGCCAGGGAGTTGAAGCTCCTTGAAAGGGACTGGCTGTCACGCTGGACCATGGAATCTAAGTTTAGTAAGAAGGGAGTTGAGGGCATGAGCCCATGTTGGTCAGGGTCAGAGGCTTATTGGAATAGAGGATCCAGAATAAGTGAGCTGGAAAGATGAGGTGTCTGGGCAGAGAGAGAGGTGCTTGTAGGTGGGATTTGGAAGGTGTGAAGTGACAGGCCCAGGGTAAGACCACAGAAGGGGGTGGAGGAAACCTCTGGGAGATCCTGGCACTGGGAGGCCAGAGCCTGGTTTGTAACTTTCGATGTTGTACCGCTTTTGTCCTTTCTTTCTGCGCCTTAGTCTCCCATTCATCTATAGCTACAGCACCGTGTCTTACCTGTCACAGAGTAAGTATCTGTCAGTGTTAATTTTCCTTGTCTTCCTTAGGTTTCCCCAATGTGGGCAAGTCCTCGCTGATTAACGGGCTGGTAGGCCGGAAGGTTGTGAGTGTCTCCAGAACCCCGGGCCACACCCGATACTTTCAGACCTACTTTCTCACTCCCTCCGTGAAGCTCTGTGACTGTCCTGGCCTTATATTTCCCTCGCTTCTGCCCAGGCAGTTGCAGGTACAAGGGCAGAGGGGCCAGCAGTGGGGAGAAGGCAGGAGATAGAGGCAGGTGCTGAGTGCTCTTACCTCCTCTCAGGTCCTGGCAGGGATCTACCCTATCGCCCAGATCCAGGAGCCATACACCGCTGTGGGCTACCTGGCCTCCCGGATCCCTGTGCAGGCCCTGCTCCATCTGCGCCACCCAGAGGCCGAGGACCCCTCCGCAGAACACCCCTGGTGTGCCTGGGACATCTGTGAAGGTGGGCTCCATATGCCTGGCTTTCCTCCCCTGGCCCTGTCTCCTCTCCTGTTCTTCCTTAGTGGTCCTGCCATCGTGATGGGGCAGCTGACTGGTCACCCATAGACTCATGTCTCAGGGCCAGCAAGATCTCGGGCCTGGAATAATCTGGGGGAAACTGGAAGGACTGTATTAGGGGTGTGGGATGATGGTGACTGGGCCCGGTTGATGGTCTTCCATCCCATCCTTCTCTCCCTCCAGCCTGGGCAGAGAAACGTGGTTACAAGACAGCCAAGGCAGCCCGAAACGATGTGTACAGAGCGGCCAACAGCCTCCTGCGGCTGGCGTTGGATGGCCGCCTCAGCCTGTGTTTTCATCCCCCGGGCTACAATGAGCAGAAAGGTCAGTCAGCTGGTGATCCTCCCCAGCCCCTGCTGTAGGAGAGGCAGGAGGGTGTGGGCTTGTGACCACACTGTGTGAGGATTCGGATTCTGCCCCCGTCGGCCAGCTCCGTGTGACTAAGCAGGTCTGAGATGACTTTTAACGATCTACAAAACCCCTGGCAAGGAGGTGGTCAAGATGGGAGTTAATGTGTGCAAAGCTTCTGTTCTGTGTGCAGCACAGAAGAGGGTGAATGAATGAATGAACAAATGAATGCCAGCAGCTATAAAAATGGTTGTTATTCTTAGTCTTTGCCTCTTCCCCATCTTTGCCTGGCATTAGTGTCTTGCTCAAAACTCTTCCCCCATTCTTTTTCTGTTTTGGTTCCCCAGGCACCTGGGAGTCCCATCCAGAGACCATGGAGCTGGTGGTTTTGCAGGGCAGGGTGGGGCCAGCGGGTGACGAGGAGGAGGAGGAAGAGGAAGAGCTGAGCAGCTCCTGTGAGGAGGAGGGAGAGGAGGACCGGGATGCGGATGAGGAGGGGGAAGGGGATGAGGACACCCCAACCTCGGCTCCAGGGTCCAGCCTGGCCGCCCGAAACCCTTATGCCCTGCTGGGTGAGGACGAGTGCTGAGTCCCTGCCCTACTCCATCTCCCCACCTCCCCAATATCTTTGCTTTTGGACTGACCCGGGGGTGTCTCCCGTCTGCCGCCCCAGTTGTGAATAAAGATTGTCTGCTTTGTAGCCCCTTCCCTAGATGGACTGAGGTGAGAGCAGCTGTCTCAGGCTGACAGCTGTGGGAGGCTGGCTGCTCTTCCTTTCTTTTCGTGCATTCTCTTTGCAAAAGAAGAGTTCTCTTAGGAGTTAATTCAGTGGGTTCTGAGGCCCAACACTGCTCCCTCTGCTCACTCTCCCACTTGTACCTTAGGAAATGTGTCATCAACTTGGGGAGGGGCGGTCACTTCAGGCTTCTGAGGCCTGGTCAAAATCCAGTCCCCTCTGGGAATTTGTGCTGGTCCCTCTGGTGTTGTAACAACCCCTGTGCGCCCCCTGCTGTCAGTCCTGGGTTATACCAGGAACTTCTGGAAGAAGCAGCAGCAAGAGATGTCATAGCTGATGTCTCCAAGGGAGATTTTTTTTAACAGGATTTATTCAAATTCAACAAATATTTATTGAGGTCTCACTGTGTGTCTAGACTTATGCTAAGCACTGAGCATATAAAGCTGCACAAACAGGCCTGACCTAAATATACAGACTGGCCGTGATCGAGACCTCATTAATCAGGCACCCAACTTTTTGGATTAAGATGGGTGTATAATGTTCTCCAAATCCTTAGGGCTCACACGGTATAATTCTAGAACTTCCTGTTGGTGGAGATACTTAACTAAGACTTGATGCTTGTGAAAATGTTAATTAAATGTGTACAAGTAGTCCTAATTACTGGCAAACAAATAGGGTGCACATTTATGATCTGAGCAGAAGAGCCCTGTAAGTGCAGAATTAAGTCTCATTATAGAGCTTTAACACTAAGGGTGTACTAGATTCATATGGGAGGGCACACAACCAGCCTCCTGAATCCCACTTACCCTGGTTTGGGATGGAGCCAAGGAGACCCAGTGCACAGTCTCAGCTGTCTTACGATATTAGGTGCAGTTCAGCAGAGGTCAGCTCTTCTGTGAGTCAGGGTGCTTTAGGCCTTGCTGTACATCTCCCTTGATAAGCAAGCAGCTGGACTCCTAGATTTCATTCTTGGAGAAAAGGAAGAATGGGCTTTGGTTCACTGGCTGCCACAATGCTGTCTGGGTAGGGTGGTAGCAAAAAGCGTTTGATGGGTTAGCCATCAGGGGTAGGCATGAGGAGAAGAGGGCGTATGATTCCTCTCTCTAAAGCGTTCTGTTCAGGTTCTGGGTCTCAGGCTGCTTTTCATTCCAGCAGAGACCCAGTCACCCCAGGAGCAAAAGAGGCTGAGGTGAAGTGGACCATATTTGGGTCATTTCTTCCATTTCTCCTCCTCTGGTCCCAGTGAGGACATAAGCCCTGGAATTTGCATTCCAGTGCAGTTTAAATACAGCATGTGAATGTGTGCAAAAGTTGCCCACAATGTGCTGTAAAAGAGACAAGGTTTCAGTGGAGAGAAAAACCCACCTGTCTCCCATCTTGCACTTTGTATCCTCAGGGCTAGGTCTGTTGACAGAAAAAGGGGGACCCTTACTGAGCATCCTGTGAAGGTTCGTAATGGTCAGGGAAGCCCAGGGGACTTCTCCACTGCTGGAGGTGGGATGGGGACATCGGAATTGTCTGAAAAAGTGGAGAAAAGTGAGAAAAATCAGAATTCTATTTATACCCTTGTCTCTGTGCCACTTCTCTTCACTTGTCTTTATCTTGTTCTGTCTCATGAGTTTCACCAGGAGCATTTGGGAGGTCTAGGGGTGGAGGTGAAAGTTGAGACCTGATGCTGGAGGGGAAGCCAAGGAAGAGGGTTTTTATGCTGAAGACCTGGATGGAAGCAGTGCTAACATCCCCAAGGGGCTAGAGATGGCAAATGATTCTTCCCAATCAGTACTCACTCTGTGGGAAAGTAACACTGGGAAAAGAACTATCTTAGCAACAAACAGATTTGGGAGGAGAAGGATAAATAATAACCCAATACCAGTGCCTGAGGTTGAAACTGACTAAAAGGGGACAAAGGAAACCAGGAATCCAGTTCTGAAATACCCAGGACTCCTGTCCTCACACCCCTCCTGGGACATACCCACTATGGAGACACTTGATGTGGAGGTCTCAGGCTCTGGGAGTTTGTACAGCTGGCCAGTCTCTTCTCTTGATGACCAGAAGCTAGTGCTGCTTATTCATGCTGCAATTCCATTTAGATGTTGAGCAACTTCTGAGCTTCCCTTTTTCTAGACTGAGTTCCAGTCATGGTTCTGGGACAAAGTAGCTGTGTGTGGTCCAGAGTAGTTCACTGATACAATCAACAAAATTGGTTGAAAACAATGTGTGTCAGGCATGCTGAGTTCTGGGACAAAAACACTGAGCGAGTCATAGACCTTACCCTCCAAGAACAGAACAGCCAGACACTAATGATACAACTCCATAGCACCATGTAAATTACCAAAAAAAAAAAAAAAAAAAGAAAAAATTGCTGTACGTGAGTATTGAATTATAACTAAGTAAGGTGGCTAGAACTATAATCACCCCAAGAATCCATTCACCAATCGAATATTTGTCCATTTGTCAACAATTACTATTTGCCAGTCACTGCTAAGTGGTAAGTGATACAGAATTAGTCCTTTTGGAGCTCACAATTTATTGGAATATGAAAACAATTTAATAATTACCCCAAAAGTGTGATGAGTGCTGTGAGAAGGGTGGTACAGGGTTCTGTGGGGTAGTGGTGGCTTCATGTAGAAGGGTCTAGTGATGCTCCTCAGAAAGAAGTGGAGGACAGAGCTAGAAACTGTGATTGTATAGCAAGTTATATAAGACTGGGGCGAAAAAAAATCAGTGGTGTGTGGTAAAGAATTGCTGTGGGAACACCCAACAGGGGCCAGTCTTGGTGAGTCAGAGAAGGTCTCCTAGAGGGACAGAGGTCCAAGCTGAGGCCTGAAAACTCAGCAGGAGTTAGCCAGGCATTGAGAGGGAAAGAGAATTCCAGAGGGGACAGCAAAGGATAGGAACAAGCGCGTGACAGTCTGGAAGGCTGACTGGTTCAGCATGGCTGGGTCAGAGGGTGCAAGGGGGAAGGTGAAGCTGGAGAGGTAGGCTTGGGTCAGCTCTTGCTGGGCCTCATCAGCCTTGCTAAAGATGAAGTCTTTATCCAGAGGGGCATTGAAGAACTTCACGCCTAAGACCAAGAAGGAGAGATTTGTGTCAGTTCGGTTGCACTGCGGAGACTGGTTTGGAAAACGGAGAGAGATCAGACTTTTGCAGAGATCCCAGAGAAGGACTGGAAACCAGAATTAAAGGGCTTAGGGGAAGAGAGGTGTGGCTGCAGATGGATTTGGGCATACAGGTGGGAGGAGGGTAGCTGAGATCCTTGAGAAGAGAGCCGAGGAAGAACGTGGAGAATATAAAAGGGAGGGCAGGGAAAGAGGAACCAGCAGACAGGATAAAACCTCGGAAGTGTGGTGCACTGAAAGCCAAGGAAGGAGGAAGGAAGGGCACAGTGGAATGCTGCTGAGGGTTAATGACAAGAAGGAAGAATGTTCACTGGGTTTGGTAAAAAGAAGCCTTCCTGGTCTTGGTGGGAGCAGCTCCATTGGACAGGTGGGACCAGAAGTCCCAGATGTCAGGGGATTGAGAATAATTTGAAGGAAGGAAGTGAAGGCAGTGGAGAAAAGGAGATAATTTTTAAAGAAGTTTGGCTATGTTTCGAGGGAGAGAAAAATGGAGAGAGCAAAGTATATAAAATCGAGAAAAAAATGCTTTAAAATTTTGCACGTTTTAACACACTGTTTAGAAGGGTTGAGTGGAGGAGGGAAGACTGAAAATGCAGGAGAGTGGGGATTAGTGACGGAACAAGCCCTGGAGAGCGGGCGGGGGCGGCATTGACAGTCCCGGCGCAGGGATTACCCTCCCACGGGAGCCTGGTGGCTTCTGTCGTAATCGGAGGAGACAGCGCTGACATTCAGCCGGTTTGCACTGGTACTGTTCAACCAGTTACTAAAACACTTCTGTACCAGTTAGTAAGTAGTATAAGAGTAACTGCAATAAGCAGTAAAAATGATTAATAAAATACATTATAATATGAACTCATCAGTTCAAGTAATAAGAGATCGCGACAGCCATTGGTAAAATGGGCTTCCCGCTGTACTTGAGACGCTTCGCAGCGCCATCTGCCGATGGGGTAGCGTCACTGCAGGCTAAGCGGCTGCTTTGAGCCTTATTAAACTCTAAAATTGCCTGTTCAAATTATCTTTGAATTATGGAGTTGCTATTGCTTCTAAATAGTTTAGCTTCTGCTTTGATTTTCTTGCTAGTACATTGTCATTCTTGCATCAGTAGTAAATTGCAGTGTTTTAATATTTCCAAATTCAAGAATTTTTAACAAACTATTAAAGCCAAACGAATAAAGAGAGAAAGTTTGAATATGTCTTTTTTTTTCCATTTATTTTTATTAGTTGGAGGCTAATTACTTTACATCATTACAGTAGTTTTTGTCATACATTGAAATGAATTAGCCATGGATTTACATGTATTCCCCATCCCGGTCCCCCCCTGAATATGTCTTTTAATGTGCCTTCAGAAATATCATAAATGAGTATGTTTTGGTTCCACGGGATAACAAAGAAGAAATATTGATGAGGTGCTGCTCATGATGTCTTCTGTTACTATGTTGAAAAAAAAAATCAAAATTCTTTCCTTTAAAAAAAAATCAAAATTCTTTCCTTAAAAAAAAAAAATCAAAATTCTTTCCAACGTTTTGTTTTGAAAATTGTCTAACACACAAACTGGAAAAAAGGACAACAAACACCCAAAACACTCATACAAGGATTTGACAAATCCTAACATTTTGCCACTAGTCTCTATCTTGTTTATCCTTTTGTCTGTCTACTTATCTTTTTTTTCCCCTAAACTGATTGGAAACAAGTTGCAGATATGCTCATTTATCCCTAAGTCATCAGTATATGTCTTGCACAACCACACTAGACTTACCATGTCTAATGAGTTAGTAATTCCTAATCTAACCAGTCCATTCTAAAGGAGATCAGTCCTGGGTGTTCATTGGAAGATTGATGCTGAAGCTGAAACTCCAATACTTTGGCCACCTCATACGAAGAGTTGACTCATTGGAAAAGACCCTGATGCTGGGAGGGATTGGGGGCAGGAGAAGGGGACGACAGAGGATGAGATGGCTGGATGGCATCACCAACTCGATGGGCATGAGTTTGAGTAAACTCCGGGAGTTGGTGATGGACAGGGAGGCCTGGCGTGCTGTGATTCATGGGGTCGCAAAGAGTTGGACACCACTGAGCGACTGAACTGAACTGAATCTAACCTAATATCATATTCAAGCTTTCCCAATTTAAATATCTTTTACAACATTAAATAAACAAACCAGGAATCAAGTTCCACACATTGTTCTTCGTTGTGATTATGTCCTCTTCTTTCTTTCTTTTTCTGACCACACCACATAGCATGTGGGATCTTAGTTCCCTTACCAGGGATCAAACCCTCAACTCTTGCATCCCTGCATTGGAAGAGAGAAGCTTTAACCACTGGACTGCCAGGAGGTCCCTCCCCTTTTCTTTTTAATCCAGAACAGTCCAATCTTCATAAAATTGACTCTTTAAAGAGACTAGGGCAGTCACTTCTATAGAATATACTACATTCTGGATTTGTCTTATAGCTTCTGTGTTGTCATTTAACTATTCTTCTAGCTCATATTTTTTTACTAAAAATTTAGATTCTAGTTACCCAATTTGGGGACTAATTCTTCAAAAGTGCTGCATTTGTCACATTGTTTCACATTGGAATGCACATAATAGGAGGTCATCCCATAGCTAGTGATGTTAAGTGTAATCAACTGTCCTATGAAAGTAGTGTTCCCCTTTGCAGTTAGCAAGTTGTCTGCATGGTTTTTTGACACAGTGATTTTTTTTTTTTTTTTTGCTGCACCTTGTAGCCTGTGGAATCTTAGTTCCCTGAGCAGGGATCGAACTCAGTCTCCTGGCAGTGAGAGCCTGGAGTTCTAACCAATAGGCTGCTGGGAAGTTCCTGATACTGTAAATATTCTAAAAAACTTTCACCCAATAATTGGCATCCATAGTGACCCTCGCCTGAATGAGTTTATCAAGGGTTACAAAATGGTGCTTTTCTACTTCTCCCACTACTCCATTTATAAGGAGATATTTATCTAGAGGGGAGCTTTCCCTTATCAACTGGAAAAGGAGGGTTCCTTCTAAAATGCCATGATAAAGGCTTAATTACTTCCATTTAGTTACCAATTTTCAGAGTAAGGCGGTGGTATATTAATCTACAAAGGTAGAAATTTACAGTCTTAAAAAAAAAAACTTATAGGTTCTCAGTTTTTATCCATCTAGTATTTTCCAATCATAGCCATTATTCCTTTTGTTCTCAAACTGTACCAAATGTGTACAGTAGGTGCTCTTTTAAGCTGACTCCTGTGTCCTTTTGACATGCTCCAGAGTTGTCTGTGACTACTTTCTTGCTTCTGGCATGACGATGTCCCAGGCTCAGTTTTTACTTTCCCAAGCTCCAAACATGGAATTAGCTGTTTCTTCAGGGAGTACTGGTTCTTTTCATGAAAAATGGTATATAGAAACCACTATTTAGATGCTGGGAGAGCTCATTACTGCAGGGGTATCACTGCTTTAAGACACTTTTAGTGTTAAGAAAAATCATGAATTCATATTGATATTTCCAATTCAAATTTTTTAATTTAACTTTTTTTGATGTATTTTATATCTTTCATCAGGATAATTTTAAATTTTAATAAGCTTGACATTTATCTATTTGCTTTATCCTAAAATATTCATAAAATAGTTTCAAAATTAGTCTTTACTACTACTGACAGTAAAATAAGTGAAATTTAATATTTTTATTTGCTGTTCTTTTAGTCTTTAGAATATTTACCATGAAGGATGTACAGGGTACTGTATTCAAATGTCGCCTGAGGAACTTCTCTGGCAGTCCAGTGGCTAAGACTCCATGCTTCCAAAGCAGGGGGGTACCATCTAGATCCCTGGTGGGAGAACTGGGTTCCCACATGCAGGTAGGGTCTGCAGTCCAGGTCTTTTTTGTCCCCCTCACTCCCTTGCTTTGCTTGCTAGACTGCCAAAGCACCTGTTCCCTTACTCCACCGTGGGCTAGGTTTCCATGCCTCTCACCTCCCTCCCCCGTTTTATGGAAAGTCCAGGGGGCCTCAAACTCACCAGCCTATAGCCTCTCCTGCCTGCCTTGGGCGGTCTTGCTCCAAAATGGGCCTGTGAGGAGTTGCAGGACAGTCTGTGCCAGCCGGTCCCTGGGGGCCCATATTTGTCTGTACCTTCTGCACTCACTGCCCCGCAGCACAGTTCACGGCTTTTTGAGCTACAATCCCTGCTAGATGTGCTTCCCCACTGTGGGCAGTGTGGTGGGTGCGGGGCATGCCAAGGCTGAATTGGAGGCCTGGGGCCTGAGATCCCTGGGGGGTGGTGTAGGGTGTGGTGGGGTGGGGGAGAGTCACTTTTTCCCAAGAAGAGGGGGGAGACCCGGCTTTATGAGAGGCACTGGATGGAAACCCAGAAGCGCAGTTTTAGTCTGGGCACTGTCTGTCTCCCTTGGGACCAGTTAATAAGTAAGCCGTAGTTAGTAGGGCAAAGAAAAATGAATTTCATTTTTTTCTCCGTGTAACTATTTTCAAAGGCTTCCTTGTCTGGGCACAGAGTGGTCTGTCCCACACCTTGTTCTTCCAGGGAAATAAAGTATCAGGTTGAGCTCCCCCCCAGAGCAGCCAGAACTCACTGAGGACAGAGCTGCTGATCCTGGGGTGCTTGGATACAGAATAAAACTGTGCCTCTGAGGCTCCACCTGGGCCCTGGGGGTCCTGTGCTTGTGGAGCCCGTAGCCTGGTCACCCTCGGTGGAGTCGGGGGAAGTTTCTCATCTTTTCCAGGAGCCTAACCCTTTGGTCCCAAGTTTCCCCATTCTTCATGTCTAGTCTCACTTGCCCCCATAGATGTTTTTTGGACATTGAAAGGACTCATTCCAGGTGCCCCAGCCAGCCAGACCCCTATTTGAGAAGCTAGGAGGTGCAGGAAGAGTGGAAGGGGTCTCTTGTGGGTGAATTAAACATTTTTTGTCTTCGAACTGATCTTTGAGAAATTTAAATTTAGCTTATGCAGTCCATCTTGACTACAATGGTCAAGAGTATTTATTTTTGTCGTTGGGAACAATCCCCAGCTCTGAGCTCCATGCCATCCCCTGAAACCACACCTCCACCCAGGCCTGCCCTAGATGACATCCTCATGTTCAGGTAAAAGGGGAAAGGGGCCTGAATTGGACAGGAACAGCAGAATCCCAGTTCTTTTGAGGTCGCTATTTTGAAAGGCTGGGAGATAGGAAACAGAATGGCCAGGACGTGTGGCCAGAGCCCCGCTCCACCCATGCCACCCCCTACCCCCGCCCCGTCTGCCTCCTCCCCTGTCACAGCACTGACTCTCCCAGGGAAGCTGGATGTAGACCCTCAAAGCGGAGAGTGTTTCTCCAGCCCACTGAACACAGATCCTGTCCTCACAGCACCTGACTGGCCCAGTCCCGCCCCAAACCATGGAAGGAGGGTAGACTGGGTAGCCTGGCATGGAAGACTCCACCCAGTGATTGCAGCCAAAATGGTCCAGGCCCTTCCTTCCAGGTTGGGCTTACCTGGTCCCTGAGCACCTCAGCTCTACCTGCCCACCTTCGTTGTCAATTTGGTCTGGCTGAGTTGCAGGGCTTCCAGGATTGGCTAGCCCGGATTTGGAGCCATAAGAATGTCCTGGATGTAAAGTAATTAGCCTCCAATGAATAAAAATAAATGGGAAAAAAAAAAAAGAAAGTCCTGGAGCCCAGGGTCAGGCTTGCTCACGCTGCAGTTTCCTCCACCGGAGAGAGAAGGAGCAGGAACTCTGTTCCCTGCACCCCTGGGATCCTGGATGTCCAGGGTCTCTCCTGCTCTTCCCCTTCTGCTAGCCTCTGAAACCAAGTAGACAAGCTTTGAAATATCTGGGGTTTTGGTTTGAGGTGGCTGCAGTTTTTCATTGTGACTTGATAAACCCAGAGGTTTTTCCTTCGTTCAGAGCCAAGCAAGGCTGCAGTAGGGAGACTGTGTAACAGCAGCCCTCTCTGGCCCAGCCCCATCCCCGCCCTGTGTGCTGCGCTCAGTCGTTCAGTCGTGTCCAACTCTGAGACCCCGTGGACTGCAGCCCACCAGGCTCCTCTGTACATGGGGATTCTCCAGACAAGAATACTGGAGTGGGTTGCCATGCCCTCCTCCAGGGGATCTTCCCAATCTAGGGATCGAACCCAGGTCTCCTGCATTGCAGGCGGATTCTTTACTGTCTGAGCCACCAGGGCAGGCTGTTCCCTCC